GTAAAAGTCCTCTTCATTGAGGCTGAAAAGAACTAAAACACAATCGTCGGATAATTGGTTGGCAATTATAATTTCTGTAAGGACTGATTGATCCTTGCTGGCACGCTCACATTCACAAAAATACCCTTCGAAAAGCCAAAAAGCCAACATATATTTTTGGCACGCCCAGTGGGACTTAATTAAAAATGGCTAGAAGAAGACGACAAGGAGAAAATGAACGCTTCGAAGAAGGCGTGGAAGGAGAGGTAGAAATACCAAATCCAGAGGATAATGTGGTAACACATCCTGTGGAAACTCCTATATTGTCAGAACCCATGGTCGAGCAGACCAGTACTTCTGGACAAGAACCATATGTTCATATTACTGGACGAAACCAAGGAATTGGACCATCCACTGTGCCATTTACTCAACCAACAAATCCATGGGATGGTTTAGTGAATGCCATGGGACAACAACTAATGAACACAATGGAAAGGTGGGCAACATCCTTTTTGGATCGAATGAATAACCACCAACCAACAAACACAAGACAAACGGAGGAAGTTGTAAATGTCCCCCAACAAAGATTGGCTAGAGAAAAACAGCCTATGCAAGTTAATGGTCAAACTAGTACCCAAAACTTTGAAAGACCATCACCTCAGTCTTGGTATGAACCCATTTCAAGGCCTATAGCAGGCCAAAATACCTCAGCACTTAATAATGAAGCCACACAAGTTGGTGGATCTGGCCAAATACAAGAAACTGGCATAAGAATGGTTACAAATCCCATGTTCGAAGCCACGCCTGGCACAAGGGGGTACACTAACCCCTTATTCGAATTTACACCCGGGGGGTTGGAGGGTTTTCCTACAAATGGCAGAGACACAACACCTGTTCCAGCACCTTTTGCAGGTCCTTTCGCAGGTCATGCTCAAAGAGGTTACCCATACCCTCAACAGCAACCTGCACCGCAAGGACAACCAGCCCCAAATTTACCACCTTATGGACCAAGAGGACCACAAGCACAAGTTTGTCCACCAAATCCTGTGTTTGCCCCTCCAGTAGTGGTTCAACAGGCACAAAATATGGTCCCTAGAGACCAAATTGCTGATATTGTTAGGGAGATATGTAGACCAATGGCTCGGGGGGTCCAGACTCCTATATACAGAAAACCATACCCAGAATGGGTAGATAGGGTACATGAATACCCAAGGGGATTCAGGATACCAGATTTTACCCTTTTTTATGGGACTGGAAATCAATCAACGATAGAACATATTGCTAGATTTGCTGCTCAATGCGGTGAATTCACTAACCATGATTATATGAAACTGAGATTATTTCCAAATTCCCTAACGGGAGGAGCATTTGTATGGTACATCAACCTTACACCTGGCTCCATTCAAAATTGGCAACAAATATTTCATGCCCAATTCTTCCAATCAGAACCAGAAGTATCTATGGCAGATTTGGCTAGGTTGAGTCAAAGGCCTGAAGAAAAGGCTACTCAGTTTATTGCCAGATTTAAAAGGGCTCGAAATAAATGTAGAGTCATCCTGCCAGAGCCAGAATTCGTCAGATTGGCTCAAAATGGTTTAGAATTCAGGCTTCGAAAGAAGTTTGATTCAACTGAATTCAGAGATTTGGTCGAACTGACCTATAAGGTGTCTCGATATGAAACATTATTAGAAGAGGAACAAGATCGAAATAATGCAACATATAAAGAAGTTTGATTCAACTGAATTCAGAGATTTGGTCGAACTGACCTATAAGGTGTCTCGATATGAAACATTATTAGAAGAGGAACAAGATCGAAATAATGCAACATATAAAGAAGTTTGATTCAACTGAATTCAGAGATTTGGTCGAACTGACCTATAAGGTGTCTCGATATGAAACATTATTAGAAGAGGAACAAGATCGAAATAATGCAACATATAAAGAAGTTTGATTCAACTGAATTCAGAGATTTGGTCGAACTGACCTATAAGGTGTCTCGATATGAAACATTATTAGAAGAGGAACAAGATCGAAATAATGCAACATATAAAGAAGTTTGATTCAACTGAATTCAGAGATTTGGTCGAACTGACCTATAAGGTGTCTCGATATGAAACATTATTAGAAGAGGAACAAGATCGAAATAATGCAACATATAAAGAAGTTTGATTCAACTGAATTCAGAGATTTGGTCGAACTGACCTATAAGGTGTCTCGATATGAAACATTATTAGAAGAGGAACAAGATCGAAATAATGCAACATATAAAGAAGTTTGATTCAACTGAATTCAGAGATTTGGTCGAACTGACCTATAAGGTGTCTCGATATGAAACATTATTAGAAGAGGAACAAGATCGAAATAATGCAACATATAAAGAAGTTTGATTCAACTGAATTCAGAGATTTGGTCGAACTGACCTATAAGGTGTCTCGATATGAAACATTATTAGAAGAGGAACAAGATCGAAATAATGCAACATATAAAGAAGTTTGATTCAACTGAATTCAGAGATTTGGTCGAACTGACCTATAAGGTGTCTCGATATGAAACATTATTAGAAGAGGAACAAGATCGAAATAATGCAACATATAAAGAAGTTTGATTCAACTGAATTCAGAGATTTGGTCAAACTAACCTATAAGGTGTCTCGATATGAAGCATTATTAGAAGAGGAACAAGATCGAAATAATGCAACATATAAAGAAGTTTGATTCAACTGAATTCAGAGATTTGGTCAAACTAACCTATAAGGTGTCTCGATATGAAGCATTATTAGAAGAGGAACAAGATCGAAATAATGCATCATATAAGACATATTATAGAGATCCTAATTATGAAATAGATGCAGCAGAGATTATAGGCAAAGAACCTGTAATCTGTGAAGCATTAATTCATAAGGATACAACTATAGACCAACAGTTTAAAAAGAAAGACTTTCACAGAAAATACTCTTTCGATTTAACAAAAGCAGATGACATCTTTGATCATTTGCTCGCGGCTAATTTCCTTAAGTTACCTAAAGGAGTAAAACTACCATCTCCAGATGAACTGAAAGGAAAAGTATACTGTAAATGGCATAATTCTTGGACTCACTCGACTAAAAACTGCATTGTTAAGCATGCTGGAGTGTAGCCAAAATAAGCTAGAATGAAGGTCCAAAGTGTAGAGCATGTTAGGCTAGCAATGCAGAATTACACCCGCCCCCGCTTTATTTTTTTAATTTTTTTAAATAATTTTTAAAAAATAAAAAAATATTTTGTTTGAAAAATATAAATAAATAAATATTTTTTACAAAAATAAAAAATCAAAAAAATAAATTAAATAAAAGAATTAGTTTCAAAATTCATAACCAAATAATTTTTTAAAATATCCAACTCAAAAATTAGTTTTAAAACTCATAACCAAATTTTTTTTTCTATTTTTAAATCTCATTTCAAAAATTTATCTTTTAAAATATAATTTAAAATTCAAAACTTATTTCAAAAATTAAATGAAACATGACCACATTTTCCCTTTTTGTCTGATTTTTGCTTTCCTTCCCGAATTTTCCTTTATGATACTGACCCACTTCTCTTTCTCGCTGTCTCCAACTATCGGTTATCTCATTAAATTTTTTTATGGATAAATTATAAATATATTTTGAGGTTTGATTAAAATGTAAATCGTCTTTTGTAATTTTGAAAATTATATTCTATCTCCTCAGATTTTTAATTTCATAATAAATCGCTCATTTTATTAATAAATCATTAAGTCAATTAACATTTTTTAATAATATCAGAAATATGTTTCAATTAAAATTTTAAATAGTTTTATTATTGTATAGGAGAGTAATTATGAATTTTATTTTTTTATTAATTTTGTTAAATAAAAAATTGTAACAAAAGAATATTTATAATTTTCTAAATCACAAGAGATAATTTTTATTTTAAATCATTATTAAAGTGTATATTTATAATTTATCCAAATAACACAAAAGTATTGAATATTACTATTTTATTAATCAATAAAAATCAATTTGACACATATGAGTTCCATCACTTAATATAGGAAAATAGGAAGACCCCCAGCACCCCGTTGGCCCAAAAAAAGTTGTTGTTTTTTTTTTTTTTATCCGCCCTTTGACCCCACATGTATGGGGGACCCGAACTGGGTCGGCAGCATGATTGCTTAATGTTGAGAGTTGTTTAGGATGTCATAAATAAATATATTTTTTGTCTTTTTAAATTAAAAAATTAAAGAAAAAAATATGATTGTTTAGTATAATTTTTTAATTTTTTACGAAAAAATATATATTAAAAAATTATATAAATTAATGTATTGAAAAAAATTGGAATAAAATAGATTGTTAGGTGGGATTAGGTAAGGGACGGCATGCAGCGTGCAGCCTAAAAAGATGATTCTCTCTCTTTCAGGCCTTGAATGGACGGTGTTGTTCGGCTCCGGGAGGCCCACCACGGGTCTCTTTTTGCTAATTCGAACCGTTCAATGTATAGAACTTGTCGAGTGCTATATGTTTATGAAAAATTACATTGATCAAATATCGATAGCTATCTGATCGGATTAATTTTTTTTCAACCGTTTACTATAACACTACCTATTTTTTTTTACAAAATTGATTTGATCATATAGTTAAATATATCCGATCAGCGTGATTCTAAAAATTTATAGAGTACTCGACAAGTTCTACACATTGAACGGTTCAAATTATCAAAATAAGACCCGCAATAGCCCCTACGAGCCGAACAACGCCGCCCTTAAACTTGCCTCCGTCTGTGTAATTTACTCTCACCAAAGTCAACAAAAGCAACCCACGGCAGAGTGAGTTGTACTATTTTGTATAAAAATAAATTTTTTATAATTTTATTTTTAGTAAATAACGATAACTTTTAATTTTTTATAGAAATTTTTTGTTTTTTTTTTTTTTTTTTTTTGAAAGATCCCCAACTATATATTGCCCATATCTGCCGTATAGATTCATATCTGTCACTTGTTAAGTTTGCATCACCATGAATACATCAATGCGAATTGTCGCATTTCTTTTTCTTGTCAATCTCACCATAGCAGCCATTTTTGAAATTAGCTTCTGCAATGGAAACCATGATGTGATATGCATGGAGAGTGAAAAACTAGCCCTATCCAGATTCAAGCAAGACCTAAAAGACCCTTCCAGCCGACTCTCTTCTTGGGACGTAGAAGATGATTGCTGTAAGTGGGCAGGAGTTGCTTGCGACAACATAACCGGCCATGTCCTTGGGCTCCAACTTCGAAATCCCAATAGTTCTATGGATTATGATTTCGAGTTTCATGATTATTGGTACAAGAGGTCAGCGTTGAGAGGTCAATTAAATCCTTCTTTGCTAAATTTGAAGCACCTCAGGTACCTGGATCTAAGTCTAAATGATTTCGGATCGGTACCAATCCCATCCTTCATTGGATCTCTGGTAAGTCTGCAATTTCTTAACTTATCCAAAGCAGGATTTGTGGATACAATTCCCCATCAACTTGGAAATCTGTCAAGTTTACGTTTTCTAAGTATTGAAGATAATTATAATTGGATTAGTGTTCCTGACCTTGAATGGCTTCATGGTCTTTCCCATTTGGAACACCTTGACCTAAGTGGAGTGTATCTTAGGAAGACACCCAACTGGGTACAAGTAATTAACAAGCTCCCTTCCTTAGTCGAGTTACACTTGTCTGGTTGTGTACTTGATTACATTCCTTCTCTATTCGATGTTAATTCTACATCTCTTGCCATCCTAGATCTTTCCTTTAACCAATTTGGTTCTTTGATACCTAGATGGATCTTCAGTCTTAGTAGCCTCGTTTCTCTTGATCTAAGCTCAAGTAATTTCACAGGCCCAATACCTGAGGGTTCTTGGAACCTAACTTCTCTCACGACCCTTAATATCTCTAATAATGATAATCTCAAGTCTTCTTTACGTAATTCTCTGTTTAGTATGAATAGCCTTGTTTCTCTTGATCTAAGCTCAAGTAATTTTGTAGGCAGACCTAAAGGGTCCAAAGAAAATGGATTTGAAGGTCCAGTTCCTATGGCTTTCTTGAACATGACCAATCTTGAGCATCTTGATCTATCAAATAATGAACTTGAGGGTACATTTCCTATGGTTTTGCCGAACATGACGAGTCTTAGGTATCTTGATCTATCACTTAATAAACTTGAGGGAAGGCTACCAAGATCATTGGGAAATCTCTGCAACTTGAGTTTTATTGATCTATCATATAACAACTTTAGTGGGGAATTGTTTAGAAGTTCGTCTAAATGCGCAGAGTATGCTTTGGAGTCATTGTTCTTGTATGGGAATAAACTCTCTGGTCTGTTAACTGATGAACTCATACAATTCAAAAATGTGCGAGACCTTATTCTCGGGGGTAACTTGTTTTCTGGTCCCATACCAGTCAATCTAGGAAGACTAACGTCCTTAGAAAGATTGGTTTTAGATGGAAATCAATTAAATGGAACTCTTCCTCAAAGTCTTGGACACCTTTCAAAGTTAAAACATTTTGATGTGTCTGATAATTTGTTGGAAGGAATTGTGTTTGAAGCTCACTTCACCAATATCATAAATCTAAGGGAATTTTATGCCTCTCGAAACCGATTGACTTTAAAAGTGAGTCCTAATTGGATCCCTCCCTTTCAACTTGAAGAGGTAGAACTTGCATCATGGAATTTGGGTCCAAAGTTTCCCATATGGGTCCAATCACAGAAAAACCTTGGGTATCTTGATCTCTCCAACACTGGAATATCAGATAGGATTCCAATTTGGTTTTGGAATTCATCTTCATCGCTCTACTTTCTAGATCTTTCCCACAACCAAATATATGATGAGATCCCATATATTCTTTATCCTCCTAACAGGGGCCAAAGTATTTACTTGAGTTCTAACCACTTTAGTGGTCCAATACCCCGTCTTTCGCCCAACTTGATTGAGCTTGATCTTTCTAACAATTCATTCTCTGGGAGTATCTCCCACTTCTTATGTGATCGGAATGACAGCCAATCCCTAGGATATCTTAATCTACAAGATAACCTTTTATCAGGAGAAATTCCTGACTGTTGGATGAGTTGGCAATCTTTGAACATCGTGGAAATGGGAAACAACAATCTGACAGGGAATATTCCAAGGTCCATGTGGCTTCTAGATTTGAATTCGTTACACTTGCGTAACAACCATCTCTCTGGTGAAATTTCTTTGCCTCTACAAAGCTTCACAAGTATAGTAGTGCTTGACCTTAGTGAGAACGAGATTACTGGAAGCATACCTACAAGGATGGCAGAATGGTTTCCATATTTACTTGTTCTCGCCCTTCGTTCGAATAAGTTAGATGGCGCAATACCTCCAGAACTTTGTCACCTCACCTCTCTTCAAGTCTTGGATCTTGCACACAACAATTTGTCTGGAGCAATACCATGGTGCATCAACAATTTTACTACCATGGCATTGAAGAAATACTCGAGCGATCCCATTAGATATGTATTTCCAGTCACCACTGATAATCGTTTTCATCAATTTGGCGATGGTTTCATAGATAATGCACTTTTGGTGACAAAAGGAAGTACGTATCAATATGACAAGATTCTTCCTCTTGTGGTTAGCATGGACCTTTCAAACAACAATATATCTGGAAACATCCCTGAGGAATTAACAAGTCTTGTGGGATTGCGATTGTTGAATTTTTCTGGAAATCATTTGACTGGTGTTATTCCAAAGAAAATAAATAACATGGTCCTGCTGGAATCTCTTGATTTATCTGGAAACCAACTATCCGGTGAAATTCCTTCAAGCATGTCAGGTTTGGCATTTTTGAGTTACTTGAATTTGTCTTATAATAACTTGACAGGGAAAATTCCATTGAGCACTCAACTCCAGAGCTTTAATGCTTCTAGCTTTGTCGACAACAATCTTTGTGGACTTCCACTCACAAAGACTTGTAGTGTAGATGGAAAAACACCTCATGTAAGGAATGAAGGAGATAGTGAAGGTACTAATTCTGAAGTGGATTGGTTTTATTTGTTTACAGCTTTGGGATTCATTGTAGGTTTTTGGGCCATCACTGCTCCTATATTGTTTATTAAGTCATGGAGATATGCTTATTTCCAATTTCTAGATAATGTGTGGACTAAACTAGTGTTGCTATGTAAGAAATGTGTTTAGTTTTGTACTTATGTCTTCTTAACATTATGAATAAATGAATTTTCATGGAATAATATCCTTTTATAGATAAATTTCTTGTGATTTTATCATGAACTTTTTCATATCATGGTTAATGTTTTTGTAAATAGGCAGCATCTGCAGCGCCAGGGGCTTCTATACATATTTGTCTGCAGAGAAAGCTTGTTGAAACTGTCGTCTGAAATACAATGTCAATAATGCATATCATTCAAACTCACTTAAGGTGAACCAACTAATAACCCCACCCCCCTCAGAGCCAAATGAAAAAGAAAAATTAAATAAATAATAAAATAGTGATGTGCAGTTTGAAACATGTTAAGCTCTGTTCCTTTGACAAGAATAATTTACTCCCTCGGTTCCAAACTTCAGTTTTTTTTTTTTTTTTTTTACCCACAGTATTAAATTATTAAAATTTGACTTTGTTTACATTTGTTTTTAGAAAATCATTAATAACGTCAAAATAAATCATTTATATAATATAAGAGAGATGCTGCTATAGTAGTATTTACAATTTATGAGTAAGAATAAAACAAAAAGTAAAATTTTGTGTTATTTGTATATATAACATATATTCAATATGATTTAATAATCTAAATTACTTTAATATCATGTAATGGCTAATAATTTCTATATATATTTAATATTTTTATATATCTATATATGTATAATTCGGGTTTCTGGTTGCTCGAGTTGTTTGATGTCTTTGTCCAAGCCTGCCCAAATTTAATTTGGGCTTCTGAATTTTTGCCCAAACCCGTACTGAATTTAAAAATATCTTGTCCAAGCCCTAAAAAAATTCGGACTAGATTTGGGTTGCTCGGGTTAAACCGCCCAAGTTGCACCCCTATAAGACCCCTATAAGGAACTAATATTTTGGGACGGATGGAGTATACATTTCCATGTCCCCAAGTCATCCCCGCCATCAATTTTAATTATATACTAATTCATACATTGAACCTTTCAACATTTTCCGTATTTCCACCCAAAACAACGTCATTAAATCCTCCATTAACATCATCATAACACCAATCTCATTCCATATACGGATACTCAAGAAGATTAATTGAAATTTCAACATGAAGTACAATTTTAATTCAAACCCTCATTTAAAAACAAAATCCCAAATCTAAGGTTTCAAGAAAATTTGGAATTTTCTTCATTTCATCATCAAATCCACCAATCATCAAATATTACTCATCAATATCTTAAAACATTCTAAGTATTTAAAAAGTTTGAGTGAAAACTCCAATTTTTGAATATATACATATTTTAATCAAAGATTTTAAACTTAGATCAATCTATACTTCTCGTAATACAACATAATCAAACGAAATCATAAATGATACTCAAGTTGGAACAAAACATCTCATGTTTGTTTGTTTGAAAATGGTTTGATGGTGCTACCCGCAAGTAGGCTAAGACATGAATTTTGCCACCCTCAAGACATGAGATTTGCCACCCTCAAGTGGGCCTAAAACAACATGATTTTGCCACCTTCAAGTGGGCTTAAAACACACATTTTGATGAATTGTTCCAATTCAAGTAATCAAGTCTTCATTCACAGGCATTCATGCAGTTATAGCAATTAAGCAAATAGCCTCATGGCAAGCATGCTAACATGGCAACATACACATCTCATGCAATATGCTAAAGCGTAAACACTTACAGTGTACTCCGAGCCAAAACAAGAAACTAGTTAGAGATATACATGATCCTAACTATATCAACAATGCCTAATGCAACACACGAAAAATGCAACTAAATAGGCTCGGCTATCTAAGGTGGCATATGAATGCTACAATTAATACATGTATTCAAATAGAAATTGAAATACGATGTAGTTTGAATGATGCGCCGAACCCGGTGCATGCAAGACAAATAAATGATACACGCATGCAAAGCATTAGGTATGCTAATTGAAATATGCCCTAAACTAACCATCAAAAGCTGATAAGTAAAAGGGAGAAAGAAATGGGGGTTGGAAGACATGCACACACGCACGCACCCTTATTACAACATTGTGCCCTCTCGATGGAGGGTCCGAATAAATAAGGGCTAACTAGCTACGTTAAGCTAAACTACTTGTTACAAATCAACTAATTAACTATGCTATTCTAGCTAATTAATTACAACACAAATTGAAAACTAGCTATGCTAAGCTAATTTAAAATATTAAAAAGCAAATATTCTAATTAATTACAACACATGTAATTAACTACAGTTAGCTAGTAAAGCGACAAAATAGCCTTGCGGACGAGGGGGGGGCATGCATGCTTGGTCGCGTCCTCCTGAAAATCCACTATATTGCCTCTAAATGCCTCTGTTTGCACACTTCTATTCTTCTAAAAATTATGCCAACTTCCAGAATGCTTCTGACCCACCTTAGGAGCATGCTGAGGGATGGTCAGCCAAGAGGGATGGCCATAGGCCAGTACTGGTGGCCGGTCGGCAGCCTTGGTAGCTGGTCGGCTGGCTTTGATGGCCGGTAGGCCACTGCTTCCTGCAATTTCTCCTTTTGCTGCAACAAAGCACAAACAGAGGCATGGCAGTGTATTTGCAAGGAAATGTGTGTGCAACTACACTCCTTATCATGTCTCAAGCTCAAAGGAGTGTAATGCTTGGCTCTCAAGCCATCAATCACGCATCTCAATGCATGATGGCCAAAGAGTCAAGCTTGCACAATGTTGATGAATGAGGACATAAGACTCAAAAGGCCTCCACCCTATCATGCACAATCAAGGGGGACGGTGTAGACACCCCATTTTTGACCGACCTTAAGACTCAGACGTCACCAGTTGAGCGCTCGGTGATATTGCATATTGTGCTCGTTCAGAAGTTTCAGTGTCCCGGCTGCAAGCCTTGCCTCTAGACTTCTGGACTCTTTCGTGCCTTGCCTCGGTTTGCGAACCAGGCTCTGTTTTCTCTTCCCGAAGGGAGAGAGAGGTCTCATAGATCATCTCTCAGTGGCCGTAGGCTACGTTTCGTGGTCGTAGGCCATTTTTCCCATTTTGGAGCCCGGTTTTCGATTTTTCAGAGCCGACGGCCGTGTGCTTCGGTTCGGGACCGCTTAACCACCTCCGTTTACTCCGGTTTTTGGCATACACCTTATTTCCTCCCTTTTGAGGAAAACTATGGCCCGAGAGACCAACTTCGTGGTCAAACGCCACCTCCGGTGCTTAACAGCCCATTTTCGGGGCCCCGGGCCGCGCGTTTCGGTCCCCCGAACCTCCGTTTTGGTTCTTTTTTGGTAGAGACCTTATTTTCATAGTTAGGAAGCTTGTAGGAGGGTGGGAGGCCAGCAATTGTTCTGAAAAGCCAGCTTTATTTCTTCATCGCTCTCCGACGCCCGTTTTCCTCACTTGAAAGCCAATGTTGACCACCCCGGGGCCACTTTATTGAACCCTAAACCCCATATTTGTGTTGTACACACCTGGGAGGCCACCAATATTTGGTGGCCAACCAGTAATTGTGCCTGACCCTTTTGAACCCCTCTAAAAAATGGATTTTTCTCTCTCCTGGTTCACATTCTCCGGGTTTCAACCACATAGTTGTGTTGTGCAGACATGGGAGGCCACCAATATGAGGTGGCCGACCAGCAATTGTCATTAACCCTTTTGACCCTTGGTCGGCCGGCCATGGGAGGTGGCCGGCCGGCCCCCTGAACCTTCTGAACCTGGCCGGCCGTGACCCTCTCACCTGGTTCCTTACAGCTGTACCCTCTGTTTCCCCCCAGATCCTGTATCCGGGGGGGGGTCTTTTGGGGAAAAATTTGAATTTCATTTTCCCCCCTTTTCTCCTCTCCTTTCTCTATAAAACCAGCCCCTCAGCTGCATTTGAGAGGGTTACAAAATTTGTTTGGAGCTCTTGCATTAAATCTCCCTCTCTCTCTATTCTAACCCTCAAAACACCTTTGGTTCTTGGCCATTTCTACACCAATCCATAGCACCACCCCTCCACCTCCATTCCAGTAACTTGAAGGCTATCTCCAGAGGCTAGGAGCATCATTTCTTGGACCAAAAGCTGTTAAAGACCTAGGCTACAAGGGTGAGTCCCCCTCTCCTCTTTTCTTGTCTTATTTTGCTTTGTATCTAAGCCATACTTTCTAGCATTTTTGGGCTCCGATCCAAACTATAAATAGTCATATTTTGTGCTCATATCCATGTTTGATTAAGGGTCTTTCTCTGTTTGAGGTCCCCTCCTCACCCTTTGTGTTTAAACTCTCTTTTAGGCCTATTTTTGCATAGTATTTTAGGCTTATTTGTGAGCTGTTTTGGACTTTTCCATAAACTGTAAAATATCTTTTTTTGAGCCCCTCTTCAACATTGTTGAAGGGCTCTCCTCTGTTTGAGGCTAGTAGCTATCACTTGCCTCTTTAACTCTCTTTTAGGCCTATTTTTGCATAGTATTTTAGGCTTATTTGTGAGCTGTTTTGGACTTTTTCATAAACTGTAAAATATCTTTTTTTGAGCCCCTCTTCAACATTTTTGAAGGGCTCTCCTCTGTTTGATGCCAGAAGCTATCACTTGCCTCTTTAACTCTCTTTTAGGCCTATTTTTGCATAGTATTTTAGGCTTATTTGTGAGCTGTTTTGGACTTTTCCATAAATTGTAAAATATCTTGTTTTGAGCCCCTCTTCAACATTGTTGAAGGGCTCTCCTCTGTTTGATACCAGCACCTATCACTTGCCTCTTTAACTCTCTTTTAGGCCTATTTTCTTGCATAGTATTTTAGGCTTATTTGTGAGCTGTTTTGGACTCTGTCATAAACTCTGAAATACCTTGTTTTGAGCCTCTCTTCAACTTTGTTGAAGGGCTTTCCTATGTTTGAGAACAGCAGCTACCACTTGTCTCTTTACCCCTCTTTTAGGCCTTTTCTTGCATGATAGTTTGGCCTTATTTTTGATTATTTTCGTGGCTTGATGTAAACTATAAAGTGCCTTTTTCTGAACCCCTCTTCAACTTTGTTGAAGGGATCTTTGCCATTTGGGGCCAGCTGCTATCCCTTTGTGTTTAATCTCTCTTTTAGGGCCATTTTTGCATGATAGATTAGCCCTATTTGTGTTCATTTTTGAGGCTTGTTATAAACTGGAAATATGCCTTTTTTGGAACTGTCTTGCATCTGTCTTCATGCTTCATAATCAAATAATGCATGCTTTGTATAGCTATAGGCCAATGCGTATGCC